AAATACAAAGTAACAGGGAAACATGATCCATAGCCAAGAGTAAAGACAACATGGTAACTGACTTTAAGATGACCCAGATGTTGAAATAGCAGACAGGGATTTTATAAAGCAGCTATTATGAATATGCTTAAAAACAAAAAAGAGAAACTTCCAGAGAATGTGCTCTACCAAAGAAAAGTAAATTAAGAACAAAAGAGATCAAGAGAACAAAAATCCAGAATGTAACTGTTGAAGAGAATCTGGCAGACTCCAGATGAGTCTCTGAGGAAAAATAAAAACAATGAAATTGTATCCCATAAATAATCAAGAATTTCTTATAACTTGAGTATAATATTATACTAGGATTCTCCAGAAAAAACAGAACCAGTAGGTTACATGTATATATGTGTGTATGTGTGTGCGTACATAGATTTATTATAAGGAATTGGCTCACATGACTATGGAGGCTAAGAATCCCAAGTTCCATTGTTGGCAAGTCAGAGACCCAGGAGAAGCAGACTGCAGTTCAAGTCCAAAAGCCTGAGAAACAGGAGATATTTTAGTCCAAGTCAAAAGGCTAGAAAAGATCTAAGTCCCAGTTTAAGGCAGTTAAGCAGAAGGAGATCCCTCTTCAACTGATTGGTTGAGGTTCACTAACATTAGCAGGGGCTGGTGGAGGGAAGTGGCAATCTGCTTTCCTCAGCCTAGGAATTCAGATATTAATCTCATCTAGAAATATCCTCACAGTCACACTCAGAATATTTGAACAATTGTCTGGACACACTGTAGCCCAGTCAGGTTGACACATAAAACGAACTGTCACAAGTGCACAAAGACATAAAGACAGAACAGAACTTACTGGAGAATAAATGTAGAAAAATATGACAGAAAAACAAATTTAATAAGATGAACTATAGGGAATGTCTATGAGTTGATCTTTATAAACCACATTGAAGTCAGATAACAGTGGATTATCATAGATCCTGGAACAAGAGTTGTGGATATGATATTTGAGGAAGATCATGTTAACACTTAAATCTAAGATACATCACCATTTGGAGACATAGAAGTTTAGAAAGCAATAAGCAAAAACTCCAGGGTTTTCCTGGTGGCTCAACGGTAAAGAATTTGCCTGCAATGCAGGAGACATGGGTTGGGAAGATCCCCTGGAGAAGGAAATGGCAATGCACTCGTCTTCTTGCGTGGGAAATCCTATGGACAGAGGAGCCAGTAAGGCTACATTCCATGGGGTCGCAAAGAGATGAACATGACTTTAAACAACAAAACAAAAACCCCAGAGACCTAGGTTCAGATGAATACTGTGGAAGTAGACAGCAAATTAAGACCCCAAGCCAGTTAAAACAATAAAATCAATGGAAGTTGGTGAAAATAAAATAGAGTGAGAAAGAATTTTCCAGTGTTAGCATCATTGATGGCAATGAGAAGTTGAGAAGAGATTTATTTGTGGGATCAAAGATGAGGCATTTTAAGATGTCATGTAAAGTTTAAAGTTTATGCTCAGCCTGTAAATAACAGCGAAGTATATATTATTTTTAGTTTACGCTAAAGAACAGAAATAATATTTATCAGGAAAAAAATCAATGCTTTAAAAGAGTTGCTATTGCAGAATAATATCTTTTAGCAACATATTTTACTGAGTTACAAATAAATCTCTATAAAATTCCTGTCACCATCCCTTTATTTATATAGTTAAGAAAGTTTATTCTGTATACTCATTCAACTAGTTATTGGTCTTAAAATATTCCTCTGCTCTGTCAATTTTTGTATATTTTATAATGCAATTAAATGTATGCTGCTGCTGCTGCTGAGTCCCTTCAGTCGTGTCCGACTCTGCGACCCCATAGATGGAAGCCCAACAGGCTCCCCCGTCCCTGGGATTCTCCAGGCAAGAACACTGGAGTGGGTTGCCATTTCCTTCTCCAGTGCATGAAAGTGAAAAGTGAAAGTGAAGTTGCTCAGGCGTGTCAGACTCTTAGCGACCCCATGGGCTGCAGAACACCAGGCTCCTCCGTCCACGGGATTTTCCAGGCAAGAGTACTGGATTGGGGTGCCATTGCCTTCTTCACAAATGTATGCTACTTTCATTGTAATAAAAAATCATAAAATGGACTATCGTGTCATTTTCAATACTGCCAGAAATATTTGACTTGCCACAGTGAATGATGAATACAACTTCCATTTATTTTCAAGGAAAAAAATTAAGGGATTCTTACCATACAGAATCAGCATTGTTTTTTGGACACTGAAGGTATTAGAAATATTTTGTGATTTGGTTTCCTGTTTCTAGTATTGTTTTCACACTAAATGCACCTGATCCCTGAGTTCAGTGTTTGGTGGAACTGAACCAGCCTCCTGCCGACTTGCTTTTTAAGCTTGTGTTGCTGAAGAGGAGCTTTACTCTTTCTTGTAAAATTTCTTGAAGTTAGCCAGTGGACAGTACACACTTTAGTGTGAACACTGTCATTAGTTAACAAGCTTGCTCTCCTTAGTCGGTAGAGAAAAGGAGGTAAGACTGTGGCCGAGGTTATTTTGGAGCCTGGGACAGGTCGGGGTCAGATGGGCTTATTGCAGTAACACAGTGATAACTTTCAGCCAGATGACTCACTTCATGAGGTTCAAGGCTTCTTGTAGAGTACCAGCAGAGCCAGTGCTAGTGAGGGTACTAGGTTAGGTGACCAGCAGAGCCAGTGCTAGTGAGGGTACTAGTTCAGGTGACCAGCAGAGTCGGTGCTAGTGAGGGTACAGGTTAGGTGAGGGAAATAAGCAAATAAGGTAGACAAAAACTAAAGATAAAGTTTTCCTGCTACTTATGACAACATAACCAAGACATAAATTCNAGTGCTAGTGAGGGTACTAGTTTAGGTGAACAGTGCTAGTGAGGGTACTAGGTTAGGTGACCAGCAGAGTCGGTGCTTGTGAGGGTACTAGTTCAGGTGACCGGCAGAGCCAGTGCTAGTGAGGGTACTAGTTTAGGTGAACAGTGCTAGTGAGGGTACAGGTTAGGTGACCAGCAGAGCCAGTGCTAGTGAGGGTACTAGTTCAGGTGACCAGCAGAGCCAGTGCTAGTGAGGGTACAGGTTAGGTGAGGGAAATAAGCAAATAAGGTAGACAAAAACTAAAGATAAAGTTTTCCTGCTACTTATGACAACATAACCAAGACATAAATTCCAGATCCCCTGATAGTTGTGTACTGGTTTTAAAAGGGTGTTTAAAATGGCTGACTCTTCTAAGTCTTTGTTTTCCATTTTCTTTATTTTCCCTAGTTGAGTGCATTTGTAAACTAACATTTTAGAGAGTGTTATTAATACAGATTATTTATATGTAGGGTAGATAAACAGTTGATTTATTGGGAAGACTACTTAGGGATGTATACTTATCCTGATCTTAACATGAGAAAAAATTGCTTATATCTATGTAGTATTTTCAAGTTTTCAAATCAATACCATCCTTCGTCTGAGAAAATAAAAATGTTACCTGATAGTGTGGCCTTCCAGTTCTCTGTATGTGTCCAGACAAATGGATACTGAGTCTATATTCTGCTCCACATTGATTGTGTGTGTTTTATGCTGTGACAGAAATGTTTTTGTTTGAAAAAAAAAACACATGCACACGTATTTCGCTGACATTCTTCCAATTTTTAGATAAATATGTTCACATTTTTCCTACTGAAAACTTAGTTTCTTTCTGGGCAGATATATCATCTTTTTAAAAACCTTTCCCCCAAGATTTCTTTTTAAATGGTTCACAGTTAAATTTAAATTTCTATATTTAGGTAGAATTATGTTTATATACCAACCACCAGTATCCAGGAAATTCAGCGGTAAGGCTGACACATAGGGAGTTTATAGTCTGTTTCATAGCCTGTGTATTTAGACGAGGTTTGAAGCTTACTTAGCAAAATTGCTTGAACATCCACAATTTCTTTAGTACAAACGCACTATTTGATTTATTTGTAATTGTTAAGATAACAGTGTGTCACTTTTTAAAGATTAGTTCTTAGGAATATGTGTTAGATTTATTCCTTTCAAAGAAAGATGCATTCAGGAACAGCTTTTGTATGTAAATATTTTTATAATATTGGATAGAGTTGGTTTGCTGCAATCACCATTGATCAAATTTGGAAGAAGTTACAGGCACATTTTTGTACTGTTTTCTCCAGCATCTTTATTTTTTTCAGCTGGATGTATTTTATATTCCTTCTAACTAATCAAAATAAGAAACTGGTTTTGCCTGTGCCAAAAAAATAGAACTATCATTTTTCACATTCTTTTATTTTCCAGGTCATTTTCAAGTAAGATTGTGTTTCTGGGACTTCTGAATTCCAGAAAACTCTCAACTTTGTAGATAGAAGGGCCCAGATGAACATTTCAGGGGGAATCTAACTTTTCATGCAGTATGTTTTGTGTTGTGCATTCCAGATACAGTTAACTTTTTGTGTGTATGTGATTAGTGTGGAAAGAAATTAATGCAGTCCAGTATTATGATTTATGGACTGAATCCTTTGCCCACTGAAGACTTGCCAAAACTAAAACTATTTTTTTTTCCTTTGGATATTAGAAACAGCTACTGTTTTTGTTGATCTTTTAAAGTTCTGAATGGGCCTATTTCAAATCATACCAGCATGGGAGCTCAGATTAATAATATAGTTATTCAACTAGTGATACTGAGCAAAACCATTGCTCACATGGATATGAGGATAAAATTTCATAAAATTATTTTCAGGTGCATTAATGCATTTCTGGAAGCTGCACTTGATTTTTCTTTTGCATGAAAGAAATCAAGGATTTCTGTTTATTGTATCAGTTACAGGTGGGCGTATAAGTTAATTGCATTTTTTTTTTATATCTTTAAACATAAGACATTTTGCTTTTTAAAGCAGTAATGTGATTGCTGGGTGATCCCCAAAGATTTTTAACTCTTAGTATATTTATCTCTCTTGAGACATCATGACTGTAGTATATTTAATTTAGATGATTAAGAAAAATTTCCTTTGTTGTTAGTTACAGCAAGCTGCTGAAGTTTCTCAGCTTCGGGGAGCAAGAGTAATTTCTGCTGAAGATCTTCTGTTTTTGATGCGCAAGGATAAGGTAATGTAAAATAATTTCACTGTATTGAAATGCCATACTTTGTGTTTAATTACACTTATATAAGGAGGCTACCCTTGTTATATGGCTTTCATATTGGAGTCGTAAGTGTTGAACTCGTGTTTGGGTTCTCACCGTTTGCACAGCAGAATGGTTTACTACACCAGAATTGATTTTCTTTTAAATTTTACATGGACAAGGGCACTTATGTAAAACTGCTGACAACTAATTCTCACTTATCCTTACATATCTATTTAGACATTTTCATTGCTACGTAAAATTCACTAGATCTTGACTGGCTGCTTTGTTCTGGTAACTGGAATATAACTAAATGACATACTTATTTTTCTAATTTTATACAGGATTGTAGACATTCATAGAGTAGTTTTTCACTTGAAATACAAAGTTTTTTCTGTGACACTGGTTAATAGGAAAAGGCAAATCAATCAAGATGAATATTGCAATAGCATAAAATATATACTCTATTACTTAGGTTTTTTTATTTGCTAGAGATCTATCTTTGAACTCTGATATTAAGCTATTTAAGCATATAATTTTGTCATAACTATCTCCCATGAGTAGCTAGTTGAAAACACTTTGTGACTTTCTGCATGTTTTTAGTACAGTTTTCATCTAAAAGGTCGTTACATGTGGAAAAACAAGCTGAGTAACCACAGCGTGTTATGATAGTTGCTAACCCAGATGAGCACCCACTGCTTAGTTCCTGATGGTCCATCTTTCATTTCTCCATTGTTTTCCCTTGGTCTTTTAATTATACTCACCCATTTTTCTTCCACAATTTTTTTATGTTTGTGGCTCAGGTTTTTATCAGAAGGCATCCTATCTGATCTTCAGGATATCCTGTGAACATACCTTTCTGATACCCATTACTTTGTATTCATAAAAACCTTTCCTTCTGATTGATTGAAGGTTGACTAAACTTGGATGAAGGATTTTCTCTTTTTTTATGCAGTAGGATATACAAACTGTACCTACACCAGTCTACCATGAAATTTTATGAATTTTTAGTTCATTGACACTTATGTGGTATGAGGACTATAAAGAGAAAAGAAATGTCTTTACTATCAAGAAGCTATAATCTGGTTTAAGAAATCTGTATCATTGAGTTGAAGAAGCATTTTGAGACTCACAGTATTTTAAGGTTGTGTGATTAGATGGAGAGTCTGTAGAATGTGGTGGAGTGGAGGTTTTCTGCCTAGGTTGAAATTCATGCAATTATATTAGAATGGAACTAACCAGGGTGCAGGCTTAGTAATCAAGGCGAACCATGATCAGTATGATGGCTCTGGAAGTGAATAGGAAGGAAGGTTTTAGCGAGATAGTGAAGAGTAAGGCTCTTCAGGAGCTAGTGACCTCACTAGGAAGATGAAGCAGAAGTAGGCGCCATGCAGCAAGTGGTGCTGAGAGGAAGGAGCCTGAACGTGCCCTTGGAAAGCAGAGACTGTGAGCCAAGTTCTTTATGAAGACAGCTGGGTAACAGTGCAGTTAGCATCAGTCTTTTGCAGAATTCCTCCAGTCAGTTTTTCTTTTTCATCAACAGAGGTAAACAGGCCAGCACAAAAAGTAGTCCACATCAACACTTTTTCCTGCCTCTTGGAGGAGTCAATATTTTAAATCCTATGGACCCTTCAGGAACATACACCAATTGTCAAAGCCCTTGTACTGGCCAGAAGGACTCTTAATCAGAATCTTTTAAGCAGCCAGGAACATAGCTGTAATATGATAGTTGCCAGTCTTCTCATCTTTCTCCTCAAAATAATAATTTTATTTATATGCTGACATGTTCCAAACAGAATTTAAAGTAGTTTACACAACTGTAATGTAAGACAAAATCAAATCTAAAGTACTGAATGGAATCAGAGCAAATAGAAAGGAGGGATAGCAAAGACCTGGATCCAGGTATATGTTTTTTCTCTTAATAATTCCGGTTTATATTCAAGTAGAAGTTGTTGACTGCCCACTGTATTTTATATACTTCACTAGACAGCTTCACTCATTTTCTGATTTATTTCTCACAATATTCCTCTAACGTAAGTACTTTACTTACCTTGTAAACAAGGAGACTGAGGTTCAAAGGTTATGTGTTCCTTCTGGCCCTGCTAGGCTCTAATTGTGAAACTATCTTGAACCTCAGTTTCCCTATATATAAGAAAAGATGATTATGTTTGTCTGTATCTCAGGGCTATCAAAAATATCAAATAAAATGCATGTAAAAGAGCTTTGTAAAATATGTTTCAGCTGTCATTAGGAATCTTAAACCTGAAGACCAGAAACCAGTAATCATCTACTCTAAGTGTAAGCATACAACTGGCAACCAATTCTGTGTTCTTGCCTGGAAAATCCCATGGATAGAGGAGCCTGGCAGGCTACAGTCCATGGTGTCGCAAATAGTCAGACACAACTGAGCATGCACACACATCAGTTACTTTTAAAGTTAGGCAGTATTGTAGTCTTCTAATAAACCTAAAAAAGTCTCAACTATCATTCATCAGCTTTGAATTTCATAAAAAATATGTTTCTCAGATTACAGGATGTTTTCCAGAAATATAAAATATAAACCAACTCTTCTAAATGAAAGATTCTCAGGGAATTAAACAAAATAAAAAAGGAAAGTGCTTGATTTCTTAAAACAGTTGTTGCAAACTTTTATATAGGTGTTTATAAATCATTTCAAAAAATGAAATTTGTTCTTGAAGGTATACAGAATTCCGCAAAGACAGTATTGTCAGCTTAGTGTGTAGAGTGTGATATTTATCGCAATCTTAGAAGGAATTTAACAACAGCAAAAAAAAAAAAAACCCAGAAAAAACAAAATTAATTGTGATTCTGCAGTATCTGAATACTTTCAAATCAAATGTGCTTTTAAAAATGCTTGTGTTGTAGTTTTTATGTTTAATTTGATGACTAAATTTTGTATTCATAGTATTATGCTAAGAATTGCTGTATTTTTCCAGTGGTCCTGGGGTAAAAGTTTATTATATTTAGTTATCGCTGTTCTTGTTGCTGTTGTTTATTCACTAAGTTGTGTCTGACTCTATGCAACCCCATTGACTGTAGCACGCCATGCTCCCCTGACCTTTTCTTTACAGCATCGGATTTTACTTTCGCCCCCAGACACATCCACAACTGAGCATCATTTCCACTTTGACCCAGCTGCTTCATTCTTTCTGGAACTATTAGTAATTGCCCTTCGCTCTTCCCCAGTAGCATATTGGATACCTTCCGACCTGGGAGGCTCATCTCCTGGTGTCGTATCTTTTTACCTTTTCATACTGTTCATGGGGTTCTCTTGGCAAGAATACTGAAATGGGTTGCTCTTCCCTCCTCCAGTGGACCACGTTTTGTCAGAACTCTCCACTATGACCTCTGTATCTTGTACGGCCCTACATGGCATGGCTTCATTGAGTTACACAAGCCCCTTCACCATGACAAGGCTGTGATTCATAAAGGGGATTTAATTATCATAGTAGTTTTTAATCATTAAAATGAATGTATGTGTAAGGTTTCTTATTTACTTATTTCATATTTTTAATAGAAGAAACTTAGAAGACTGCTAAAATACATGTTTTTCCGAGACTACAAATCAAAGATTGTCAAAGGCATTGACGAGGATGATCTTCTGGAAGGTAACTTAAAGCACTAAACTAAAACTTATGTGACACCTATATGCCGATGACACATTTATATAGCGTCAACGTAGATAACTCCTGTCAGAGTTCAATATTTGTCCTTCTGTTAAATATGTAGTTTAGTAACTGTCCAAATATTTATATAGTTGGTACTTAAATCTTGTGATTTTCCAATTGTGTGACTTCAGAATAATCTGTTATTTTAATTCTTCTTTTAATAAAATAACCTGCTTTACATCAGAATATCATGAAACTGAGAAAATTATGTCAAGTTAAAACATAATTGATTTTAGCAAACATAATGTTTCTGTTGTGAATATAGGGAGCCTGAACTATTATATCTTTGAAATTGACACTTATGGTTTTTTGTTAATTTATTATAGAAAGTATCTTATATATTTTATAATGTAAAATCATATCATTTTACTGTATTATTTCTGTGCTGTTTGAAATCTAACAAAAAATCTGACACAAAGTGGGAATTTTTCCTAAGCTGATTTTCCAACTTAAATCCCTGTTTTAGGATATTTAGAAAAAATATTTATGTTGTAAAAATCAAATACTGATAAGCTGAAAACACATAATTACTAAATAATACTTACTAATCAGAATAAATGTTTGTGTTTTTAGAAATAACTTATGTACTTTGTATTGAATATAGTCACTGTACAGTGGTATCCTTTGCTAGTGACAAAGTAGCTAAACAAACTCTACTGTATTAGGGACAATTCCAGAAAATTGCTCAGAACCAACTAAAGAGTTAACTGACTTTGAGAGAGAACCAGTTACTTTCATTAATCCTCAACAGATCCACAAGAGTAATACCTGTGTCAAAAAAAAATACTGATCAAACATTTAATCAGTATTGTCTATTTCATATTCCTACAGTTATACAGTTTAACTCCTGCAAAATAGTTCTCCAAATAAATTTAAATGCTTTCGTTTATGGAGAGCATAAAAAACACAGACTTGGAGCAAACAGACCTAAATTCCTATTAATCCCGGTTCTCTGCTTTCTTTCTAAAAGCATCATTGAACGTCACTTTTCTCATTTGAAAGCCAGAAATTATATTACTGGCCATTACAGTTCAACATGACGTATGAAAAGCACCTGATACACTCCTGCCAGTGAATCAATGATGGCTGTTAATATGATGCTTTGAACACCAAGAAGCTCAGACTAGTATTCTGTTTTACTCACGCTGTCATTATGCCAGTTTGATGCCCTCTCCTCCTTAATTTACTTCAAACTTCTCCACTTTATCATTTAAATTTTCTGATTTTGTGAGCCTTATATAAACTTCTAAAATACAGTTGACCCTTGAGCAACATGGAGGTTAGGGGTGCCAGCTGTCTGTACAGTTAAATTTGCCAAAAACTTTACAATTGGCCCTCATATACACTGTTCTGTGTCACCATATTCTCCAACCATGTAGAGTCATATAGTATGCATTTAGTGAAAAAAAAATTTATATTTAAGTGGATACACATGTTTCAAACTTGTGTTCTTCAAGGGTGCAATGTAGTTGATATAATTTATAAAATAAAATACTCAGGTAAAATACATTTACTACTGAAGTGGGTCTTCCAGAAAGGCCATGTGAGGACTGTGGTAGACTCTTTGCACAGAGAAACACATTTAACTCATGAGCATAAAGAAAAATAATAGTTTAAAATCTCTGGAAACTGTTCTTAAGGGCAGACAGCAAATGGAGAAACATATTCAGAAACAGTCTACTAAATCTCATTAAGAACAGTGAGAATCTGTTGCATTTGAGCCACAATGCAACAGCCACAATACTCTCATCACTTCTCTCCTCCCTTCCTACCGTGGTGCCCCAGCTCAAAATGATAGAAGCTTTACTCTGGGTAAATGTGTCCAAGAACACTGGGCATCTGCTTCCCTACCCCCTAATCTAGGGTGACAGTTTCAACCCAGGAAGGGCAGGAGGTCAACATCTCTCATCTTTTCCAACTCTGTGTTGCAGAACTTCTATGCTAGGCAAGCACAGCTGAAAGGACTGTGACTGTCACTCATCCTCTAGTAATAGGGACGCTCTCAGGTTGCCCTCCCTTGACTTGCTCACAGGGAGTAAAGCTTCACACAAGAAGAGACAAGCCTTGAAGACAGGAGTCTGCCATCTCTAACGAAGTTCCCCCTCTTAGATCCAGGACAGGCTTTCTTGGAGTACTGATTGCCCTTCCGAACTCCAGCTGTAGTACAGAAGTGCAAAGATTCAGCCAGTAAGAGAGAGCCTTAATAGCAGAGAGCTCTGCCGCTCTTCCTGCAGGGACTGACTCTTTGGAAAAGAGCATTTGGAAGTTCCTGACTAAGAGTGTTTTAAAACAATGGAGATCTTCTGGTAGTGAGCCATTAAGAGGAAGCTGGTCACTCTAATACTAATAGCAACACAGAAAACAGTGTACCAGCTTAAAGTTTAATAAAAGAAAGCAGTAGCTAAGAAGAGCAGTAGCTAAGAAGACCCCCTCCTGGGGTCAGAGCGAAACTTATAGGCTGGTCAACCTTGACTCTGCAGAGTGACCCAAATTATTTAGATCAGTCCGTGGAGCAATTTGTGCCCAATAGTATTATTGAAGCAGCAGAACTCTCAGCCAGCAGTTAGTGGAAGCTAACAGCTGTGTATGATACAAATAGAGTCAGACCAGCCAGAAACTTAATGGAGAGAAAAGTGACAGGAAAAGAGAACATGGCTAAAAACCACAGTCACTCCGGGTGGTGGAGTAGGCTCTTCACATGCTCAAGGCTGTGCCGTCTGAAGAGCAACATCGAAGGCTGCACACTGAGAGGGAAAGAGACTTATTTGAACTAGTTCAGCCAAGTCACTGAACAAACAAAACAAACAAGCGAATGATGACAGCAAGCCACAGGAAGAAAAGGGAATTATTATCTAGAGCTGCTGTAGTGTATTTCCCCAAATACCCATTTTCATCAACAGCAACAACAAAATACTAGACATGCAAAGAAACAGATATATATGATCCATAAAAAGGACAAGAATAAGCAGATAAGACAAAATGCCTTTGAGGAGGTCCAGATGTTGGGCTTCACAGATGAAAACTTTAAATAGCTATTATAAATGCATTCAATATTTTGGAGTATAAGAAACTCCAATACTTTGGCCACCTGATGTGAAGAACTGACTTATTGGAAAAGACTGATGCTGGGAAAGACTGAAAGCAGGAGGGGAAGGGGACATCAAAGGATGAGATGGTTGGATGGCATCACCAACTTGATGGACATGAGTCTGAGTAAGCTCCAGGAGTTGGTGATGAACAGGGAAGCCTGGCACGCTGCAGTCCATGGGGTCACAAAGAGTCAGACATGACTGAGCGACTGAACTGAACTGATAAATACGTTAAAAAAATGTAAGGAAACCTTATGTAAATATAACAAAAGAAAGGTGTGGTTACAGTGTCTCACAAAATAGAGAATACCAATTAAGAAATAGAAATTATATTAATAGAAACAAGTAGAAATTAAATCCACATGCATACACATACACACAAACACCCCACACACCCACCCACCCACACACACACCCACCCACACACACACACCCACCCACACACCCCAGAGGATATCTATAAAGGTAATTATGTAGGTAAATATAAAAGAAAATATAACTGTGTTAGCAATTGTATTAATATATATATAATTGTACTGTTGAGTCTATAGCATACAGATATGTAGTATATTTGATAGTAGCAACATAAATGAGGTGGATGATAATGAAGTTGTATTGGAGCAGGGAATGACAGTTTTCTTCTCACTCTAAGATGTTACGGTTGCCTTTATTTGGTATATGAGTATGTAATTTGTCACATTAAAAAATAATCCAGTTCTTACTCACTAATTCACACTTAGACTTTTGTGTATTAAACTGTACTAATTGTGTATTGCATCTTACATTCTTTCCTGACTTTCTGCAATAACTTTCTCAGAGTTTTGTTTTGCTTTTAAGTAAATATGATAGTTTTGTCTCTTATGAGAAAAAGAGTAAAATCTCATCCCATAGATTTTACATGTATTGTCATAGTAATGTACCTAGTATTTTCTTCTTTTAATTTCAAGTTGCAATCCTAATGCCTTTTATTTATGTGTTTGTTTTTATTTATTTTCCCAATTGGGCTTGCCATAGCAGGATTCTTCTTCCAAATCTGATAGCCCTTCTTTTTATCTTTTTTTGGTAAGAAATTTTAATCAATCCATAAATACTTACTGTAGTAATTGATTATTTGGTTTTATTCTCTCAATCTTATTCATGACATAAGTGGGTGATTCAATTCTGTATGACTTTATGCTTTTGTTTTAGATACAAAGGTTCTCCTTTTGAAGATTATTTTGAGAAAATTCCACTTTTGAATTTTATATGCAGTATTCCATACTTAAAATGGTTAGGACTGATGTAAACCTATTTAAGAATATTTTGTTTTTCCTTCCTTTATCTTCATGAAGACAAATTGAGTGGCAGCAATAATGCAAACAAAAGACAAAAAATCGCTCAAGACTTTCTCAACTCTATTGACCAAACAGGAGAACTCTTGGCAATGTTTGAAGATGATGAAATTGATGAAGTTAAACAAGAAAGAATGGAGGTATAGTACATGCTTCCCTTATTAGAGTAATGGAAGAACCATTGCAGTGTGTATAATATTGGATTATTCTGTTCTTGTGTTCTTTAAATGTTTGTCTGAATTGTCCAAATCAGTGGTTTCATGAAGCAGCATTGTGCAGTGAAGTAGTCCTGGGAAGGATGTCAAACTCTGCCTTCATAGCTGACTTTGGGAAACAGCTTCAGTCCCCTGTTCCTTTGTTTCCTCCTTTGAATATGAGTAGATTTCCCTAAGCTTCCTTCTGGATTTTACTTTTACTGATATTATTTTCTTCCATAAAAGCTAGTTTATAATTAAATAATTTACTTAGTTTTTGTACCAAACCATCCAGTTATCTTTGTGGGCAAAACTAATTCTTACTGCTTTTGTGTTGACATATGGTATGAAGAGCTATATTTTTCAGCCTGTAGTTGCAGGCTATGATTGGCCTCACCAGCTAAGGTAGTATCCAGGGCAATTGCATGCTTTATATTGTTGTAAAACAATGTCAGTGACAAGTGCTTGTATTCCCTGGGCATGTTTTAACAATGGATAAGAAAAATTGTATGCCTTCTATTTACCCTAGCTATTTATTCATAAAATTGTTTCCTTAAATATTATACTTTGGAAAAACAAAAGTAGTGACTGATTTCATTTGAGTGCCTTTCAAAATATAAGGCATTATTATTATCGTTCTTATTCTTATAATACTTCTACATGGTTTTTTAAAAAAAAAAAAACCTCCATTTTCCCCCTTCTCTTTAAACTGGGCAAGAGGTAATTCCAGAGTTCTGAAAGATTGTGCTAAGTGCTGACTTTATCATAGTCTGTATGCATGCTAAAAATATAATTATTTCATGTTAAATTTTGGAGGAAGTCCAGTAGACATCCATGCTTTATAAAATTTAACAGCCTTCTTTCAAGAATTAGTATGCTTAGATCATGAGCTGTGATCTGAAGGCAGTGTTCTTCTTAGGTATCAATTACCTTAGAAATGTGTGGTTATCTTGGTTTGAGGCAACTGCAAATGATTTTAGTTCAACTTTGCCTTGAGCCAAAAACATGCTCAGTTGTCCAAAGCAGATGATAAACATATATTTCTGATGTCATTATGGCCTAAACAGGATATGATTGTTTAGTGGCATGGTTTTACTTATGATGCATTACGCAGAGAGCAAATATTGTTTATGCTTTATTTTTTAAACATTTTTACATTATACAAATGGGCATTAAGAAGAATTTATCAAGGAAGGACTCTACAGAAAACATTAGTGAAATTGAACAAGTAGCTCTTTCAATTTTGACAGGAAAATCTCTTGTCAACCAAGCCTATTGCCCAGAAGGGCATTCCACAATCAAGGAGAAGAAGAGAAAGGGAGCGTGTTGTAACAGTAAGCTCATAATAGCAGGCTACTGTGGGCCTGGAAGACTGATGAGTCAGTAAGGTACAAGTTCAAATGAATCAAATATTTGGAAACATAGGGCAGAAATAGCTTGGGAGCGCATACGGTTTAAATTTCTCTTCCCTATAGTTATATTATGTATTGCATAGTGGTGACCAGGATAAGTATCAATAGTTGATAGAAACAATTGCAGTAAAAGTCAGCTTCATTTGTACAAGAAAAGTTAAGATTGCCAGCTTCTCCAAACCTTGAAACATAACTAAAATCTCTAACCAAAATAACAATGAGTAGTTTTGAGATTCTATCCATCCAAATAACAGAACTTAAACTGGATAAAAAATGCTGAACTTGTAGACAAAACTGTAGACAGTAGAAAGTGGAACCGTTAAGAGCATAGTCCTTGCCTGCTTCTAATTTGACAGGTTATAGTTTCAAGCGTAAACCACAACTGTGGCAGTCCATATGAAACCACTTTGGACTCACAGACTGCAATCCCTGGCTTTTAAAGTGCAGTAGAATAATCAGTCCTGGCATCGCTGAGTGATTTAATTTTCCTCTAAGCATCACTTACAGTTGTAGAAACTTTGTTTACTACCTTCTCCCCTTGAATGTATGAAAATGGTATAGGCCTACCAACAAAGCTTATTATTGTTTTTTTTTCTTTTTTGTTTCATTTAAATGTAATTTAGAAGAGAAAAAGAAATTTATAGACGTAAAAACTCTCTCGGGACCCTAGCTTTTTCTCAAAACATTGAGGAAGCATATGAAAACCTGAGCTCTTTCCTGTTGTTTTCAGCTGATTTATGTGTGTGCCTGGCTTTGTGTTTTACTCATAATTTGCTTTGTTAAGTATTATATGATTTGAAATATAAAAAAGTCTGAATTTTTATGTGCATTGTTTATATCTGCTTGCTAGTCCATCATCATGTTAAGTTAACTAGCTCTCACTCCATTTATCTTTCCCTATCACCAGCACTTCAGTGTGTGAATAGTAGAGCTCTATGATCATGACCTGGAAAGATCCCTCGTAAATCATCAAGGGTACATTAAATGATGTTCAGAATTGCTTTAGTATATTTGAGAGACTGGGAAAGAGAAGCAGAAAAATAATAAGCATAATAAATATAAATACAACTCCCCTCCAAGCACCTTTCCGACCCCCTGTACCCACCCCCAGAAAGACCCAGGTGTATTTGACTGTTGATCCTGTTTCTTACATCCCAGTCTTTTGAGATCTAATCAACTAAATGTGACTGTCAACCAAGGACAAGAAAGGGTCACTAAAGCCTGCAGATAGCTTTGTATTTTCTTTTTTTTTTTTAAGTTATTAGTTTTCCCAGATTTACTTGTTACTGTGGTTGTTGTCACTCACAGAAGAGCCTCACAAAAGAGCCTCACCTAAGACCCTGCTGCTCTACTCATTAACCAAGTAAAATATCCTATCTAATGAGCTGCTCGGGTTTGTGAAGGAGGTGTAAATAAGGAACACTAAAAAGAAAATTGAGTGAATTCTCTACTTTCTGACTAATCCTCAAACAGGTAAAATAAACAGGGGACCAAAGTTCAGAGCTCACCAAAGGGCAGACTAAGCAGCTTAGGGTGCTGAAAATCCCCAGTGATTGTTGTTTGTTTTTAAGTCAGAGGCCTAGTCTTGAAATCTAGAAAGAAAGTAGAATGGGATTTATAAAATTTAAGCGCTGGGAAGACCCAGACAGATGGGATGGAAAGGGAGGTGGGAGGGGGGAGTCGGAATGGGGAACACATGTAAATCCATGGCTGATTCATGTCAATGTATGGCAAAAACCACTACAATATTATAAAGTAATTAGCCTCCAACTAATAAAAACAAATGGGGGGAAAAAAGATTGTTTAAAATTGACTAAAAGTTGAATAAGACCTCATGTGCCATCTGAATTGTACTGATAGGATGACCATGCTCTGACTGGCTTAGCCTAAGTCGTATGCTCCGTCTCCAAAGAGGGGGCAGTTAGCCTCTGTAAAAGCATGAGTCCCTGCAGCTTTAAGAAGAAGGCGTAGGTGCTGAAAAAGATAAAGGACCTCTCATTATGTTTAAGAATTGGCAGAGGGGGTACAGCATAATCTTGACTCTCTGCTCAGATCTCTGGGATTTTTTTCCCTTAGAGACAGCCTGTTAAAATGAGTGGAAATCATTTTGTTTGGATTCAGGCAAACCATCCATCCATCCATCCTCCACTCTTTAATTCATTCAGCATTTGTCTGAGCTTCTTTTGTAAATCAGTCATTGTACTAGGTCCTGAAGTTACAACTATAAAAAAGACAAAATATGGTTTCTGCCCTCACAGGCCTTCAGTGATAACTGGCAAATCAAAAGCTAGCTGAGTACACTGGTAAGGGGAACACAGGCTCAATAAATGGTTGCCATTTTTATGACTATTACTATATTTGGCCTTGAATTTTGAACCTTCTTAGTAGATTATTGGTTGTGTGATGGAGATATGTATATTCTATTTCACTTGCTATTTTATTTGAAATTTTGTTTATTCTGAAGTAAAGCACATGTCTTCTTCAAGAAATATTTTGTGATTAACTTCAGAGTGGTTTATAGAACTAGCCTCAGTGTGGTTTGTTGAAGAGGACACAAAACAGAATACTAGAACTAGGGTCCATTTTAAAACATAAAATAGCGTGATGGTCAGGATTCGTTTCTGAAAGAAATTCATCAAGAGAACACATCACTGTGTCTTCTTTACTCTCCTCAAGGTAACTTTTGTTCAGATAATTTAAAAGTACTCTGTGAAATTGTTCTTTGGGGAATACTAATAGATAAACTCCCCAAATCTTTGGTAATTCTAGCTGCACAGAGCAGAATTAATGTAACTTAGTGTATGTTTTTCTGGCCTAGAAACTGCAGACTAGGGAGTGTTACATGACTTTAGGAGAACCCAAAGGCTGGTATGATATATAACTCTGAAACTGATTTCCAGCTCTGTCAAACTACTTTTTATCCTCACCTTCTGATTATTGGGCTTCCCTCGCGGCTCAGACAGTAAAGAATATGCCCGCAGTACAGGACCTGGGCTTGATCCCCGGGTCGGGAAGATCCCCTGGAGAAGGAAACAGCAACCCACTCCGGTATCCTTGCCTGGAGAATCCCATGGGCAGAGGAGCCTGGTGGCTCTAGGCCATGGGGGTCACAAAGAGTCGGACACGACTGAGGGACTAACACTGATTATGGAATGGTAGAGACCTGTGTATTCATTGCCGTAAAACATCTGGAGAAGACATTTTTCAATCAATGACATGGAAAAGTAAGTTACAAATCTTATAACAATAGAACGTTCCCTAACTCTTATCCATGTCCTTATCATCCTGTAGGTTAATACATCAGATTTGACAGATGTTCCTCAAGGAATTCTTTCAGGCTTTTCTTATCCATGTCAACTATGAGCTCTTAACCATGTGAACTGAGGGTAAAGTCAGACTTCTGTTTTGCCCAGAGTGCACCACATACCAGGTGTGAAACCAGAAGTGGTTGGGTGATGGTAGCAGTGTTTTGATCATTCTGTCACATTTAAGATGCTTACTCTCTTGGGTTATGCTTTGCTGTAGAAAAATTTT